ATCCATCCCCATCCATCCATTCATCCATCCATCCATCCATCCCTATCAATCCATCCATTTATCCATCCCTATCAATCCATCCCTATCAATCCATCCCTATCAATCCATCCATCCCATCCATCCATCCATCCATCCATCCATCCATCCATCCATCCATCCATCTATCCATCCATCTATCCATCCATCTCATCCATATCCATCCATCCACCCACACACCCATCCATCCATCCATCCATCCATCCATCCATTCATCCATCCATTCATAACATACCATATTGTTTGTTTCAGAGTACAATTAACAGTGTGCATAAGCCAGATGCTGCGGCACGATTTTCCAGAGAAGTGGCCAACTGTAATCGACAAAGTAAATCTATACCTGACCAGTAATAACCAAGCAACATGGATGGGTGCCCTTCTCACTCTTTACCAAATTGTCAAAAAATATGAGTATCCTTGCATCATAACGCTTAGTTCACCTCGTGTAATAACTAGTGCGGCAGGATATTACTGGGCTGCATTCGCTGCACTCAAATGTCCAAAGATCAAGTATAGATCAGACGGAGTCATAATAGTCGATTTATTGTGTAGCAGCACTATAGAAGTAATAATAATAATGTCTAGAATCAGGTAAAGTTTGGATCATTTTTGACGTCATTTCATGTTCCATTACAGTACAGACGCATAGAGAACTGACTTTGATTTTTTTTTGCCATAACAAAGTCGAAAAAATTGAAGACAAGTAAATAATTTGAAAAAGCTGTTTCATCCGCTTGCTCAGTGTGTAAATTACTTCACTTTGGGGTTTCGCACCTTCAAAGTCTGTCTTCCCTGTGGATGAGTTAACTTTACTGACAATGTTTTGAATGAAATCTCCAATGAACAGAACCCCAAAGAGAAATTATTTATACTTCCGGTTGACGTCGCCGTTGTAGGTTTTGCAAATCTTAAAGTCCCCATTTACACGGTACAACTCRAGTTGTAGGATGGCACGGGCGTGTTGTACAGTATACGATAGTTGTAGGCGAAAATCGTACCGTCTAAACCGGCCTTTAGGGAGATTTCAGACTGAAATGAAGATTTTGGAGGATTAGAGGATTAAAAATCTTTCATTCAGTCAATAATCTTCCTCAAAATATTGTTTTTTTTGAAAGACCTACTGAAGACGCTGGTGAGGACCATCTTCACTGCCCATGCTAACACTACAGGGCCTACAGTGGAAGCTGTTGTATTTTTTAGTTTAAGTTCAACTTGAGTTCCATCTTCACTGCTCATACTAACACTACAGGGCCTACAGTGGAAACTGTTTTATTTTTTTTAGTTAAGTTCAACTTGAGTTCAAGTTTTTATAGCTTAAAAAAAGTTATTAAAGTTCCTTAACCAAGAATAAGATTCAAGAAGATTGAAGAACGACCCCCAATTATCACGATAATGGGCACAATGCTGCCAATATTATATAACCACTGTGTAGGACTGATGAATGATGATTCTGTCACTGCTGTCTCCATGCAGAAACAGATTTTAAAGATTTTCTATTCGCTTATCCAGGTATAAAGCTGCTAAAGTCATCTTTATTAAAAATATATTTAATGTTTTTACCTTTGCGAAGATTGCAAAATTCCTTTGCTTACAGACTTACTTGCTCAGAGTTTGCCTTGTATCTGTGTCTATTCACAAATACCAACACTTTCAACAATACAAACACTTTGAAATTCCACGTGAATTATTCTACACCAAATCAAGGGTAACCATGAGCGACAGAGAACTTGAAACAGGATTATTCCACTACTTTGTTCAAGATTTACTACAGCTTCGCAGATTATGAAGGCCAATTGAAAATTATCTCCAATTACAGTAATTATATACCTTTTTATAAAATAACTGCTATGAATGTCGCGTTCTGATTGGTTTGGAGCGCATGCTTCATGAGAGCACATTGCACGCGTGCACACTTTCCGTTGCATCATTCCTATCTATTATTGTAATTTGTATTTTATAAAAGAAATAAAAAACTTGCTTGCTGTGCTGTGTGCAGTCACAAAGCACTTGGGGGTTGGCAGAACACTCGAGAAGTGTTGAGAAGCACTCTGCTACGCTTCATACTTCTCCTAACACTTCTCTCATGTTCTGCCAACCCCCGCGTGCTTTATGACAGCACACAGAATGCGCGCACGTTTTCTATTTCTTCAATCAAATAAAGTTTGTTATTATTAATAAAGTTTATAAAACTTACAAATTTTATATTTTTTTCTCGTTTACATGTATAGTGCAATATGCCACTGGAAATTATTAATGAACAGAATTTCCCAAAATGGATGCAAATATTCCAGACTGTAGTTGACAGACCTGTTCCTGCTGTAAGTATTGTGCGGGGCTTAAAATAATTGAGAATTAATCAAAAAATGTTTGCACAGATTCAATTGGAACTTGTCTAGTCAATTCTTTGCCTTGCTGGTCAATTAGTATATGTAATAGGACTCCATGCTGTCCAATTAAGAAATAATTGGACGAGGAAAATTCCGAGGACTGACAAAATTGGATGAGGCCGTAGGACGAGTCGAATTTGGCAGTCAGAGGAATTTTCAAGTCTAATTATTTCTTGATTGGGGAGCATGAAATCCCATTACCTATTAATTATATAGCTGCCTAATTAATCCCAAGACCTGTCCAATTACGAAAATAATTGGACAGTTACATATATGGGATTAATGAGAAGCTGTATAATTATACTAGTAACGTTGAGCCAGAAATGAGGTATGACAGAGCTTAAACTAATTTGGCCAGTCATCATGATCTGCAACTTACAGCCATTATTTTAAGTACATGTACTGTTATGTCAGGTGGATCTAAAGGGTATTGTGTTGATTCCTAGACTCAGAATAGCATCGTAGAGTACTGTATGTACAGTAGGTCTCCCCTTGATTCTAATATTTTTCTCCAGGTTTTCTGGTTTTGCATCGTCCCTCCAAAACTTAACAAATACTAAATTCCACTGAATTCCAGTTCAATACGTTTTTTTCTCATTTCTTTGTTTGTTGTTATTATTGTTTGCATTTCCAGGCAGCATTGGAACCTGACGAGGACGAAAGACCAAGACTAGCTTGGTGGAAAGCGAAAAAATGGGCTTTACATATTTTACAAAGAATATTTGAGAGGTTGGTTAACTTGATATAACTTGGAAAAAAGAGTGTATACTGTCATCGTAAAAATGGGAAACGCAGGTGTGTGCACTGTTAATACTGTACCTCTCCTCTTACCAATGCAACCTGGGTTGAGTCCTGTCAGCCTCGGCATCATATGTGAGTAGAGTTGTTTGTTGGTTCTCTCCTGTGTAGTATGTGAGTAGAGTTGTTTGTTGGTTCTCTCCTGTGTAG